ACACACACACACACACACATATATATATATATTTGCAAAAATGTACAGAAAGAGAAAAATCAGGAATACTTGGCTACAGTGTGAATGCAGAATCAGTAAATATTAGCTACTTTTCTTCACATCTCTGAAAACTGTCTTTGTTCAGGGGTTTCCTGTCCTTTGTGTTTGGCAAGATTATATTGTAATACTCCAATAAATCCTCACAGCTTTTATATTGGATTAAATAATAACGGTCTGCATAAAACTGCAGGTTGAGCCAGGAAGTTGGATGTCAGCAGACATCCTGGGTGGTCGTCTAACTGCACTAACCAGTGCTCTGGTTCCCAAAGTTGTGAAGACAGAAATATTATTACCTTTAGAAATAATTGGAAGTATTAGCCACAACTGTTAAAGCAAGTTAATAACTGTAGTCCTAAATAGTTAAAATTTATTATTAAGAAGGCTCTTTGTCAAATGGGTTATTATMTGTACATTTAAATATCAGAATATATAATAATAATTTGAATTATGAAAATACCACTATAGAGTTTGTTTGCTTTAAGAGTAAACTCTTGATTTCTTTTTACCCTTGTGATAAACCCACTGATTTAAATATTAATGCACAGAAACTCAAGCATGTTTCTTCAGTGGCTTGTTGTTGCTGTAAAGTTCTTTAAGATGTAAATAATCTTGTTAACATACAGCATTGTTGCCCTTGGTGGACACTCAGGAAGCTAATTTTGCATAACAAAGATCCACAACCTCCTTTTGTTAACCTCACAGACTGTTTTTATATTGATTCAACTACTTTTAGGCTCCACCTAGTTTTTTTTCTATTGCACAGGAAGTCCAACAGTATGTGGTCAAGTCACACAAATGGCTTCCAATTCACATTTTATTAAACTGCTGAAATCAACACACAGCTTTTCAAAACTATTTTTTTTAAGTGGGGGACTAATCTATGGATTGTGACCTCATCCTCAGTAATGAGGGCGTTGCTTCAGTTGGTTGTGGTGAAGAAAATGTTGAGTTGAAGAGCTCTCAATTTGCTGGTCTGTCTACATTCCAGCAATCGCCTCTGGCCATGAGGTTTTGGATCATGACAGAAAGGACATTCCAGATACAAGTGGCCAAAATGAGCTTCCTTCAGGGTGACTGGACTCTTTGAGGAGCTCCGTCATCCGGGGTGAGCTCAGAGTAGAGCCGCTGCTCCTCTGCAACAAAAAAAAAAAGTCAGGTGAGGTGGTTCAGCCATCTGATTAGGATGCATCCTGGACGTCTGCCTTTGGAGGTTTTCTGGGTGCTTCTCATTGGGGTGGGGGAGAGAGACTCCGAGCCTGCTGGAGGAATTGTGTATCTTCTCTGGCCTGGGAACGCCTAGAGGTCTCCCAGGAGGAGCTGGAGAGAGGGGTTGCCTTTGTGACTTAAGAAAATTAGAAACAACTAAAGTAGCCACATTTAGTCAAGGTTGTTTTGTGTATGAGGTTGGTCAATATTGGCAAAAAAATGATCACAATTAATTGTGACATTTAGCTGATATGAATAGATGACAATTGCACTTGCAAATTTTTGACTCCCGTGTTCTAAAATTATACTGATAAATAACAAGTCAAACTAATTTCTTCATTTTAACAGGTTAAAATAGTAAGCTGAGAGTTAAAACAACTTTTAAACAATGTGGAGTGGCAGCAGATCTTTAGGAATAACACAGGTTCACAGAGCGCGTTGCATACACAAAAATATGTCATGTGGAGCTGATTGCAAAGTGTCAAATATTGAGTTTTTTCTGATGAATAAAAGCACACAACACAATTTGTCCAACTTTAGTGTATAAGGTACATAAAATATAAGATTTTCCTTATTCAGACCTTCACTGTCTTGTGTGATCTTATCAGTCTCATGTGTTGGGAGGATTTCAAAATAATATTTTACAGTCCTTCACTGGCACAAATCACATGTGAATGTAGGCAAAATACTGGCAAAATTAACAGTAAAAACAAACAAACAAGTACAGCAGAACAAGAAACATTTATAATTTTTGCTGGAAAAATGTACAAAGCAGACAAATGTTTTAATTCTCATTCCAACTACTGATTGGACAAAAAATATCCAAGTGTTTTTTAAACATTCTAAAATAATTATGAACAGAAATTCCCACACTTACTTACAAAGCATGCTAGTTATTCAAAAATACTACCTTAAATTTAGTACAAAGCTGATGTCAGTTTAAAGCAACAACAAAAATCACAAAGGTTCTGAACAAATAAATAAAAGTCAACTCTTGAATTCTGTACAGGATGTCTTAGATTATCAATGTACAAAACATCTCAAAATATCCGTAGCTTAAACTGCTGTTACAAACACACTTTTTAAGCGGGTTTCTGTCATTAGTGTACAACATTAACACTAACGAGCAGACATGGTCACCTTTGTTTTTGAGGTTTCCGGTTTATGAAAATCAAAAGAAATCCAGATGCATGTGGGACTTCCTGGATTCTGTCAGAGGTTAGAGTGAAAATTTATTGTATAAAAAACTCTCGGTGAGAAATCTAAACCAAGGTTGTATAAATGCAGAGCCATTTTATTTTTATGTATTTTTTTTAAGTTCCTGTTTTGCAAACATCCCAAGTTGGTGCTAAAGTGAGAGGTCGTATTGGTTGTGATACGGTTTCAGTAAAGTCCTGGTTGACTTCTGCCTACAACTGAATCTGAGACAATGGGCTTCACGCAAGAACCATTCATGGACACAAATTTGCTTTTGGTGACATTCATATCTAATATTTCTCAAAAAACACATTTCATCATATTTTTGTACCTGAAAATTTTGATATAACAAATAAATAAATCACAATCAGCCATTTTACCTTTTTTCTAGGGACTTTTGGTTGTGCTCTTCGAGTCATTTCTAGGCAGTTCTTTCAATGCCCGTTACTGCTGTTGGGTAGACTACCGACATGTTGGTGGTGTGAATGTGCTGCAAAAAGTTTTAAGTAAATAGTGTCAAAATATTATCCACAAGAATGCCAAGATGCTCGTTTTTGGAGCAAAGAACGGTGTAGCATTAAACTATATCCCTCTACTGTACATGTCGGTGGTCTTAATGTTATGGCTGATTGGTGTGGACTCAGTTGTAAGCTGAAGACACATAACACTGAACTACAGGAATAAAATATTTTGAAAGGTTTCCCATTTACCACTTCTGAAATGTTGTGTGGTTGTTTGCTGCCCACTGTAGGGAAAAATCACTGCTTCTAATTTACCTGTACTTCAACATGAAATAACTTCTATTTATAACAACACTACAGACTGTTTAAACTTCTGTTTTTGATGCACTTTTAAAAGTCAAACAGAAAKCTGAGTAAAGAAAATTTTTATATTTAGGCATTTTGAATGAAAAATCTAAAGATTCTTGCTTGAAGCCCACTGAGATGCAGCAGCGCCCTCTTGTGACAACTCTGTTAACTACAACCATCGATCCAGCACCAGAGCTCCTTCATACATACGATCACATCAGGCCTACAGAGAAAATGTTTTTGTCATCAGATTCTAGCACTTTACTGTCCCACTGGATTACACCCTGATTTTTTAAAGACAATAAAACAACTTTTTATTTTTAGTTTACAGCCCTTTTCTGGTGAGTGGTTAAAGCCAGTTAAAATGTCAACCGAGTCAAATTCATAAACAATCAAAAACATACATAAAACAAGATTAAATGAGATTTTTGATTCACTGGGTGCTGATAATTACAGTCATCTTACAGAGGAAAATCAGCAGTGCACTGAGAACAAAATACAACTGGTTTGTTTAATATTTCTAAATTTAATGAGGCAGGATGTGGTCATTCAGCTCATCTCTGCATTTGTCTCGATTAGAACAGAGTTAAACTTTCAGGGTGTGAAAACCTCCAGCGCTGAAGTCATGTGCCTTTGTCAAAGGGTACGCTGTTGCACGGACTGTTGCTAATACTCCAGCTGGCAGACAGACCGGCAGACGAAGACTCACTTTCCCCCGTCTGCTGACACTGCAACAGACCCTTTTGGCACGGCTCCATGGTGACGGCCACACCCACGCCGCTCCGCCCTGACGTCATGTGCGTCACCTCAGACCAGGTGTCCGTCTCTGGGTCGTAACACTCCACACTGTCCAGGAATGTGGTGCCATCATAACCTCCTGTTAAAACATGGCATCTGGAAATTATATCTAAAACACATATTTAGATGTTCGCACAAATTAATTCAAGAGAATACCATTCTCACATATAAGATCAGACACGCTCTCACAGGCGTGCATCGTTTGGTTTTAGTGAGATTAGAGGGTGAACGAGGCCGAATGAACTCGTTGAACTTGCTCTGCTGCTTTTAATAAAAGCCGACACTGCAAAAATATGCAGTCATTGTTTTGATACACCTTTTTTAAGCAACAGCTCCAAATGTTAACCTCTAACAAAGTGAACACAAACACATAAAAGGATTTTGGATAACCAAGATTAATGTAGTGTTGAAATTATGGCTTGATAACTATTGAATCAACTAGCCAATTAGGCCATTACGTTTTATTCAGCGATGATATTAAGTGACCAAAAACCACATCATAGACATTTATTACCTTCAAACCTGAGTAAACCAACTTGTGAAAAAGTGGGCAGATGTATTCAGTATTACAGAGTCTTAGCCTATGTTTGAGTGTAACATGGATCTCTATTTGTCATTCTGATGGAGCTTATTTTATATCCAAAATCAGGCATTTAGGCTAGAGGAGGTTGGAGATGTTTATACTTAGCGCTTACGTTGTTGTAGTTTTCTCCAAATGGACATGTAGCAGTACATTTTATAACTTATGAAATGTAAATAAGAAAGCAAAAGTTTGATGGACAAACAAATTATTTGAATAGTGCACGGCTCGCGCAGCCTCTGCGGAGCAGCAGAGACCGCATTTATTTTATGAAGCTAGAGGAAGACACAAAGAATAAATTGAACCGACCTGGATACAGCAGCAGTAGCAATTTTACAGCTTCAGTAGCTGCTGTTGTGTGTTGTTTTCAATCTCTGGTCTCACTTTATTCTTAACTTTTTTTTACCCCCCTCAGTCCATTTTGTAAGCTTCTTAAGTGGCAGAGGGGCCAACTGCATTTATTTTATGAAGCCAGAGGAAGACATAAAGAATAAATAAACCGATGTTACAGTAGCTGGTATGTGTTGCTTTGGTCGTAACTTTTTTCACCTGCGTAAATTCTGTAAGCTTGCATAAGGTTCGTAAGCACGTGCATTATATTTAAAGTTTCTACAGAATTACTGCCCAAAACCTACAGATTTTAAGTTGGATACTTTCAGTTTCCCACCCCAGAGCCCCCGTGTCTCAGTGAGGTAACCTGTATTAAATCACCTACCCATTACATAGATGCGTCCATGTAAGGCAGTAACTCCCAGAGCACTGCGCCTGTGCTTCATGGAGGCAGCAAAGTTCCACGCATCTGTTTCCACATCGTAGTGCTCCACAGTGTTCAGCTGGTTGGTGCCGTCGTATCCTCCCATGACAAAGATCTGATTGCCCAGTGCGCACACACCTAAAAGGAGACAAAGGCTGGTTCATTCAAACATGTCATTACTTTATCAAGCTGACAGGATGATCCTACAGGAAGAAGTATTTTGTTTTTTGAGGAGCCGCTACCTGATTAAGACAGGTTCAAGAGGCTCATACATACAAGCAGGCAGCAAATAAACATCAGAATAATTTATTTCAATAAATTACAGCTTAATTCATATAACTTGAAATGACACAAACACCTCTTCAATACAACAGCAATTACTGGTAATGAACAGAGGAGCACAAACAAGTTACTTTATTTCTATTTACTTAAAATCCAAAGAAAACCTTAAATATACAAAAGTAAAACGTTAGCAAAACATACAATGTCAACGTATTTAGTAATTTCGCAACTTTAAACGTCATCTTATCTGACAAATTTCCTGTCCTTTTTTGAACTTCTTAAAAAATAAAGCTAGAATAGCTGCTGTGTTAAAGCTGACATTCATGTCAACAGAAGTTCAGTGAAATGCTGTCAGTCAAAGATAATAAAAATAATATTAATGGTGATAAAACTACATGCCATCTAAGCTACACAATAATTCAAAGCAAACAGACTTCTTTCTTTCTGGTTGGTGTAAGTTTCCTTTGGTCACTTTCACTTCTGTTTGACATTTTCACAATATCACCCGAAACAACAGATTTCTGTCAGAAACTTCAACACTGCAGCTGTAGGACACTTTTAGAGTACCGGTACTTCAAATACCACTTTATGTGCACGAGCATTACTACAAGACCTGGTGAACTAAGTGCACCCGTCTACTGAMAACCAGATGACAAACTGGAACAACYACCTCTGTGAGTCACAGAGTTTATCATGACAAAGCAGTTTTACTTCCTTACCTGCTCCAGATCGCACTGTGTTCATGGGGGCCATGGTCCTCCACTCGTCCCTCTCAGGGTTGTAGCATTCGCAGGAGCTGAGCCGGTTGGCGCCGTCAAACCCACCAACAGCATAAAGCAGCCGGTTGATCACCGTAACACCCACACCTATACGGCGCGTTAACATGGGAGCTACCAGATGCCACTGATCTCTTTCTGGATCATACCTGAACCAACACACAGAGGAAAAAAAATCTCAGAACTTGTTTTACTTCAGCAGACAGAGGTTGACGCATGGCAAGCTTTCAGACAGTTTCATAAATAAACTTCCTCTATTTGGTTGAGCTTGTTCACATATGGTACATTACCAGTTCATTCAAAAAAAAAAAAAATTACGTATTTTTTAGTCTTACATTTCTAAAGATACAGTTTTGTAAAAATGGCTAGCTAACACATAAACACATAATCAGACCTACATATAAAGAACAGCTGTGCTTTCCTAGAAAGAACATGAATCATATTTATAGTGTTCATTTTTCTTTCATTCCCCTTCAGCCAAACAGAAAGGTTACTCAGTCCCACAGCAAAGACAAAAGCTACTGGTTTTCTGTCTTGTGATAACATTTAGAGGAAGGAACCACCAGGTTAAACAGGTGACTGGTGTAACTGTGTACTGCAGATTAATCTCACAGTAACAGACTGTTGTTCTGCTGCAGGAAGCTGCATGTTCGCCTTCAATATCATTAAGCGAGAACTCAAACAGGTCGGGTTTGTTCCCCTTTTCAAAGAAACTGAGGTCAATCTGAACAATGATTACCATTTCTTAGAATAAAGCCAGAGGCTTTAATGAAGACGTTATATAACTTGAGATGATACTGCAGGGCTACATCTGGCTTTGTGTCAAAGAGCTTTATTACTTACTGTGGGACATTTTTGCAGAGTTAACAACTCAATTTATATTACTGCTACACTATGGTTAAACAAATATTGTTTTATATTAAAAAATACAAGCTGGCAGGCAAAGAAGCAATAATTTTAAGGGTTAAGCAATGTCAACTGACAGGACGTACACCGCTTTCGATTTGGTGTTAGTGCAGATCCTTTAAGCAACAAGATGACAAATTTTAACTCAATAAAGTTTGTGGTATTACTATATTTGCTTGTGATTTAAAAAATACATATATTTTTTAAATTTCCTCAAGCAAACTGAAAATAAAGTGTAAAGAGCGAAACATTACCATATAATAAGGAAGTTGCTGGAATCCTATTTTTATACAGTGACTTTATCCAAAAAGACTAAAACTTAACTTTGCATTACAAATATCCTCATGTGTACAGAGACAAAACACACAAACATCAACATAGTGACAGTAAAATCTATCATCTATGGTCATCGTCACTACAGAGATTTATTTAGGATGTTATAATATTCTCGGTTCACTTACTTTTCCACACTGTTGTGATGAATGCACCCGTGAGAACCGCCCACTGCGTATATCATGCCGTCGATGACGCCGACCCCGATTCGGTTCCTGGGGACGCTCATGGGCGCACACGGACGCCAGCAGTTGTTCATGGGATTGTAGCAGTCCAAAGCATTGGAGTCCATGTTACCATCAGGTGCGTTGTTCCTACCCCCCACAGCATAGAACAGCCCACTGATCACACAGGCTGCCAGGCCACTGCGGGGCACCTGCAGGTCAGCCAGCCTCAGCCAGGCTCCAGTGCAGGGGTTGTAAGCCTCCAGGTCACTGAGAGACTGGCGGAAATAACCCCCTGCTGTGTAGATGAGCTGCGGCACCTTGGGCGTTCTGCAAGGGATCGCTTTGGTCGGTTTGTGAAGCGTGAGGTCCTGGAAGATTTGGGCCAAGTAGTCTTTACACTCAGGGTCCCAGTCCAGAGACTGGAGCTGGGTCTGGAGGAAGTTGGGGGTGAGGGAATGGCAGCGGACAGCCTGGAGCAAGGCTTGAACGTATGGTCGCCGGTTCTCTTGGTCATAGCGCACCCAGGCCACGCAGGCCTGGAAGACTTCGGACTCGCACCGCACGTTGAGCTCGTCACGGCTGATGAGGTTGACCAGCTGGCATTGAGACAAGTTGAAGAACTCCTCCTGGGTTGCTACCTGAAATCAGAAACAGAACATAAGCAAAACTAACAGTATTCATCTGCTGATAATAAAAAAATAAGACAGTGAATTCTTGTTTTTTTTAGTGAATAGTCACCTTTTGATCCCAGGTAAAAGAAAAACTGAATTATTAGTGTTTATGAGTTTAGCTTACTATAATAAAAAAAATCTAACTCCTTACATTTTGGTAAATATCAGCTGAGGCTTGTTAAAACTAAACTCTGTTTAGTTGCTGCTCATTTGTCTATGATATATTCATTTATAAAAATTTAAAAAAAGCTCAGCACCAAAGTAAAACATTTCCTCTAAAACGTGGAGCACAGTTCCTGATATTTATTTAAAACATGAAACAAAAAGCCATATTGAATGAAAGATGCTGGACTTAAAAACAAATGTCTTTAACCGTACTTGGCTGAAGTTCATATAGATGTATTCTCTGGCCTTCTGGTGCAGCTCCGTGCAGCCGATCTGTTCGGCGAAGCTGTCGATGCCGATGGCGTTGCTGGGGTCGAGCTGCTGCACAAGGAAATCGCAGCAGGCTTTGACCACGCTGTCGATCTGGTACATGACAGCCCCGTTCATCACATGGATAACGCACTTCTCTCCCACAGAGATGCTGGCAGTGTAGGCGAACTCTATCAGTCTGTCCATGACCTGAATACGTAGGGGGACAGAATCAAGAACAATCAATAAATACAGTTCTAAGCTTGGTTTGTGGAGCTTTTATGGCTGACAAAGCAGAACTGACATGAACTCTCAGAAGTCACGTGAGCCCAGTAAACATTTGTTATGGAGGAATTTTAGCCCACTCTTCTTTACATTGTTGCTTCAGTTCACTGAAGTTTGTAAGTATTTAATTCTGCACAACTGTCTCAATCTGACCACAGCATTTCCCCCAATCTGACTGAAGTCTGTATTTTGACTGGTCATTGCAAGAATTTGATTCGTTTCCATTACACCCATTCTGTTGCAGATTTGCTTTTGAGTTTGAGATGACTGTCCTGTTTTATGTCCCACTTTCTACCCAAGCTTCAGTTGTCAGATATCCTCACATTTGAATTTAAAATACTGTGGAAGAAGAGGAATTTACAGCAGACTCAACGACTCGTGTCCGAGTTTCTTGGCTAAAAAATAAGTCCAAATCATCACCCCTCCACCACCGTGCTTACAGAGGTTTATAGTAACTAAGTACATTCACTTCGTTACAGTACTTAAGTAGTTTTTTTGTGGATTTRTAATTTTACCAGTTATTTTTTAAACAGCTACTTTTACTTTTATTTCCTTACATTTTAAAGCTAAAATTGATACTTTTACTTCTTTAAGATTTAACACTATTCGTTACAAAATTAAATATGTTGGAACTCATCATGAAAGATAATGTTTATGCCCTCTAAAAATGAAGTGTTGAATTTATCCAACAAAGTTATGTCAGCTGGCTCCATTAAGCCTAGGTGAGTAAACTGAGCAAAGAATATACATAACTTGCTCAATTTACTTAACCTGGCTTAGTGGAGCCAGTTTGGTTCTGTAAATTCATCAGTTTATTTCTTAGAGAGCGTGTAAAAGTACTTGTACTTTCCCAGTTTTTCTGAACAGTTTTATGAATTTTACTTGAGTAGTTTTCTCATCAGTGAAATTTATTTTTACCCGTCATTTTCTGTTCATGTAATTTTACTCTTACTTAGTTATTTTTTTCAAGTACTTTAAAGACCTCTGCGTGCTTAATAATGAGTATTATGCGTTTGCACCAGTGTGGTATGTTTGGCTTTATGTGCAAACAGTTCTACTTTGGATTCATCTGATATTACTCTGATCTTAACACTTGGGAAGAATGACAGCTGTTTTAAATTATTTTAAATTGTGAATAAAAGTCTCTGCAGAATGATGGACTTCAGACCATTAGGAAATGACCTTTAACTTTCGGACTAATAGGCAGCAACAACTGCTTATTTAATGTTACTGCTGATGTCTTCTCATCCTGACAGTGTGCTGATAGAAAGCTCCAGAGACACTGTCAAAACTTCTGCTTTTATAAAGGTGCTCACATTAATGATCAGCATGACCAACACTCATCTTTCTGTAAAACCATCTGAGATAACATTAAAAACCTCTAAATCACACCAAACAACTGCAATAATTTAAGTGTTTTTCTAATAACATTTGCCATCAAATTAATTTGTTATGAGTGTAAACATGAGTAGTGGTTCATCCAGAAATGGCCTCAAAAGTATCAAAATATTTTCAGCTACTTAAAAAAATAACGTTCCATCCATAAACGCTTTAGATTCTACCCTTAATTCATGGATCACAAAGCAACACGCAACTCACCCTGGGATGAATTCCTTCAATGGGAACCACCTCCATGCCACACTCCTTCAGGCCGTTGGTGAACATGGCCCTGAAGACGGGGGACGAGGAAGCCAAAACCACCTTGTGAGCCACGAAGTCCACAGCCTCCAGGTCTTTGTAGCGCACACGCAGCGTGACGTCGCACAGCTGCCGCTCCAGCCGCAGCTCGTTCATGATGGCGAAGGCGGCCGACGTGTGGCTCTCCAGTGTGTAGCTGAAGACGCGGTGACCATTGCGCGTGGAGGGAGTCACCAACGCTTTGTATTCTGTCAGACACTCTGTCATTTCCTACAAACCCTTTCTCCTCCTCCTCTTCAAACTCTTTCTCCTGAACTGTGCACAGCGCTATGGAGCATCCCTACACCACATGCAGACATGTGTAAAAAATAAAAAACAACGTTTCTACACAAGTGACAGCTCCAGTTTCCTCGGAATAWTGCCTATCGTCTGAACARAAGGTTTTTTTCCCAAAATAAAAGCTTCTTTGCCCTGTTCAGTATCTGAGTTCAGCCTTCTTGGCATCACAGGAGGGTTGGAGTTGAACTTGCAGTTGTGGCTTGGTGTGTTTTTACACACAGTTCCAACATGATGAAAATATCTGAAGGTTTCCCCTAGTCACGTCCTACTGTTAACTTTGCAAAAAAAATAAAAGTTAATGTTGAACTATGACTCGGGTTCCCAATACGTTCGGCTGTTTGCTTTGGCAACAGAACTGTTTTTCTTTCCACTCCTCAGTGCTGTGGATAGAAACTTGGTGATCATTCCTTATGGTTGCAATAAGGTGACAGTGTCTATATTTCACCTGCTAAACTGTAGCTTTGCTTTAAAAAGTTTATTCGGACTGCTCAAATGGCTACCACAAAACAGTTTCTCAGACACCAATGGAACGGATTTGGCTCAAATGAAGACAAACTTTATAACTCTTAGCTTTAAAAGAAGAGTTAAATAAAACCTGGTCTGATCAACACTTTTGCCTGGGTCCGAAGACTCGGACGCTGAAGATGCAGCAGTCAGAAGCTTGTTGACTCTGAACGGCACTAACAGACAAGTGCCAAATGTGTCACAAGTGTCATGTGGACCCTCTTGGAATGAAGACAGGGGGTGGGGCAAGATGATGGATGACCTTCTCCAGAGAGACCTTCTTCCAAGTTGCCTCGAATTTGCACCATGCAGACCACTGAGAAGAATAAAAAAAAGAGACAAAGTTAGTGTATAAATTACAAACGTTTATACATTTTGCATTTAATTTGTTCTGTTTAACACAAAGCAGGTCAAACAGATGTGACTCACAGCAAATAGCTCAGCATATCTTTATAGTTTACACATTATCAGTAAGAAGAGTAACATCTTGAACTCAATGACCCATTATCACCATAAAAAAAACATACATTCGTTGGTAAGATGTGTCCATTCAAAGTCCTTTGCACTGATTTTAACCCTAAACAAAACATAATTAACAGCGAGGGAGTAATGCTTGATTAAAAACAGGCCTAAATCAAATTACATTAGATTGGAGTTCAGCTGTTCAGTGTGACAGAGCATTTTATACTCCGTCCTGTGACTGATCGAACGGTTTATGCAGCAATTACGTCATTATGACGTAAAAAAAACTAAGACTTATAATCCCCACAACAACATTTAACCTGAAAAGGAGGACACTTTATATCCAATCATGGTTGTCTTTTTATTTTCTGCGTGGAATCCATTGCAAACTATTCCTTTAATGTCATTTCTAAACAACAATTGTGAAAGATTAATATGAAGCATATTTAATGAAGAAGTGGGTGAGACGGTGCACTTGCAGACAATTCCTTTAATAGCTCTTTCTCATGTGTGAAGTTTCTGCTAGATAATTTGACTTAAAATTAAACATTTATTCCAAAAAGTAACTACTCCACAAATGACACATATAAACAATGAAAATAACTGCAACTGAAAATGTGTCTTTGTCTG